CAGATCGCACGAAACGATTTCGACGGTTTTGTATTCGTTGGAAAGGTCTCGGGCTTCGTTATAGCAAAGAAAATTGATGAAAGATTTCAACAGAAAAGCGGAAAAAACTTTTTCTTTTTACACATACAAGCGTCATCTCTGATACTTAGCATGTAGTACAAACTAATATTTTGTTTTGACTGCTACTCATTTGTTTGAAAGCTACTCATTGTTCTCTGCTCAGTTAATTTCATGTGACAAACCGGCATTGTGTTCACTGTGAAATTGTGCAAAAAAGTGAAAAAAATAAGTTATTCATTCCCTAACATTTCAATTGGAAACCATCAAATCAATCACGTGTATTGTGCAAATTTTTATTCAATTTCAACAGCAGGGAATTGTTTCCTTCATCTTTTAATCAACAAACGAAATGTTACATAATATGAAACCATCTGGTGGTGAAACGGAGTTTGCCCGGTTTGCTAGTTTATATTTAAAAAAGACAGAGAATAATAGCAAAAATGCATAATTGGCGTTAATAACTTGGATAAAGTTTTATTATTTATTGATTTTTGAATGGTCGAAATTTATAGTTCTACTAAATTTCAACGTATTTTTATATAAATTGTCGAAATCATATCTGAGTTATACTTATTATCCAGATTTTTAGGTATCTCAACTATTTGTTTTTTCTAAATCTAAAGATTAGCTAATTTGCTATTGCTAATTGACGAAAAGTAATCAGTTTAAAAATTTATTTTAAAAAAATCATCTATGGTCTTTCAATAATAGTTTGTCACAAACTACTGGCTTCTTTAATTTATTAAAAAATTTAATTTATTAAAAAAATTATTCTTCAATATAACTTTCAATAAGTGATATATTTATAATACCTTATTTGTTGAAATAATTAACTGTACGTTTTTGCTGGTATATTTCTCTAAAACGATAATGAAAATAATTAATTTAAATTTTACAAACTAATTTTTTCATTGTTTGTAAGAAAATATTATTATGAAAATAAAGTTTTAGCAAGATTTTATGCAACTACGTTAATGTACTATGTTTCATAAACAAGTGTCTCACCAAAAAAGGATTATTTTACTTTAATTATTAACTGTATTCATTTTTTAAAATGCATTTCTAAAACTTGCCTATTTCTTCTGATTTATCTTAACAAAAATTATAAAAGATATGAATAATGGCAAATGTGTTTTGTGTGAAACACTAACATTCTTAGGAAGAAAATAAAAAACCTGAAATAAAATGGATCAGGGTAAAAAATATAGTAAAAAATTAAATACAACAGGTTTTATCGACAGCAAGCAAAAATGATCGAATGTGGGGTTATTAGTTTAAATTGATGATGAAAAAGAAAATTCTTCCAAGCAACATGAAATATGTTAATAGCATTCCCAATATTAATTTATTACGAATAGCAAATTATTAATTAATTTAGCGATGATTCGTCATTTTTGCCAGATGTTTAAAACCTTTTTGAATTTTTGTGTAAAATCGAACTTTTATTTCAACAACTGATTACAAACTCTTATAATATATTATAATATTTTTGTTTATATATACATTTAACAGAATTGAATAACACTTTAACATTATATAATGCATGGCAGTAGACACGGATAATGGTAATAATTTTTTTTAAATTTAGATTGATCTCAATTGTAAATTTTGACAATTTTAATTAATTCGAACAATGTTTTAAAATTTTATTGGCAGTTTTTTATCCAGTAATCCAAACATGTCCTGCGCTATTGCTATTGATAATATGTTAGTTAACAAATTGGCTATTAATAATAGTTGATTATTATATTTAAACAAAACGATCTAGTTGCAAATATGATGGTGCAAATGTGTAAAAATTTGGCATCTGGATTATTTTTTCAAGCTGGCTCAAGCTGATTCAGTTAAACTTCCTCTGAAACAATATATGAAACAGAATATTGGTATTGGGCGCCAATATCTTTATATCACAAGAGTAATAATTTTTAACCGGGGTAAAAGAAATACAATTTCATATTTATGAAGAAAATTCCACAAATAATATCATATCGACTCGGCAGTGAAAATTGCCTATTTTAGCAATAATAAAAATTATTTTGTTTTGATTCACAAAATTATTCTTCAGTTGTATTTTCAAAATTATTAATATATTTAATAATGTCTTTAACTATCTAATTAAAATAATAAATATTAGAAAACCAACAATTTTCATTGCCTTATTTATATTTCTATTTCTCAAAACTAATTTAGTTAAAGTCCAAGAACCTATATATTTACTTCTTAAATTATTCTCAATCAAAGGGAGAATTAAAATCTAATTTAATTTAATTTGTCGCTAAATTAATTAAATTAAGAAAATATATATTTATTCTTATTCCCCATTATTTAAATTATTATACACTCAAAGAATGCATCTAAAAATCATGAAAATTTTGATTAATTACATATAATAGTTTGAATCTATTCAGAACAAATTTCAAAGTGTAGAATATCCAATTATAATTACTCTTGTGATAATAAGCTCTCTTAATTATGAACATTTATTAATTGAAATTAATGATTATGATTAGTTGTGTGTTATGAGATGTTTGTGTGTTTTGTTAAGAGTCTAAAAAGCATTTTTGGTGGTTTGTGTGAAGCAAAAGCTTGCTTTTGTTGGTTTCATTTAAAATTTTTATTGATAAGGCATCGTCTGTATGTAAAATTGTGATAATTTGCACAGTTTCTTTGAAATTTCAACAGATATATTTTAGTTTAATTACACAAATTATATTATGTAATGACTATCATTAACATTTTTCTAATATTTTACATAACAGGTAAAGAAATATTTTTTATCCGTTATATAAAATGCTAAAATAAATAGTTTAACTGCAAAGAAACTGTGCAAAATTTGTTATTGCTTATATATGTATATATACATATATAAATAAATAAATTTAAATAAATAATTCGTATTCACAAACCATTGCAAGATAAGATAAAAATCGCGATAAACTATTGCATATTTGAACAACTTAAATATAATAATATATAACAAAAAATAATTGTTTAAAGAAAGTTAAAACTAGTAGGGCTGTTAATACAAAGCATGGTATCGTGCTTTAAGGCAAATTGCTGGAACTTTCCGTACCAATTTTTTTTTTTTTTTTTAATTTACTCTGAAAATAATAGATTTTTGAAAAACTATAAATTTTTGACAAAAATTTACTTTTTTTTGAAAAAAGACTTTTTGAAAAAAAAATTATTTTGAAATATTTTGAAATTCTGAACTTTTTAACTTCCCGTAGGGCAAGTTATAGTAATCGCAAAAAAATCGAAAATGAAAATTTTTATATATCTTTACGTTTCAAAGGTTTCTAAACATTTTGGCATACCTTAGAAAAATGGATGTATGTGTGTGTGTGTGTGTGTGTGTGTGTATGTGTGTGTGTATGTGTGTGTGTATGTGTGTGTATGTGTGTGTGTATGTATGTACGTGTGTGTATGTATGTGCGGATACAAATTTTCGTCGACGATTTCGGGAACACGGATCAACCGATTTGAATAATTCAAAAAACATTCGATTCGTATTGATAAGGAGACGTGCTGATTAGTTTTTGGCGAAGGCAGGTCTAGCCGTTCCGAAGATACGGGGCAAAAGTGCCGAAAACGTAACTCAGTTTTTAAGAGAACGGAGCGTCCGATTTGAATAATTCAAAAAACATTTCACTTGTATTGACAAGATGAAGAATCGATAAAATTTTCATGAAGGTAGGTCTAGCGGTTTCGGAGATATAGAGGAAAAAAAAAAAAATGAGCCATTTGGCGGTCAAAAATGATCATTTGACATATGCACATCAAATTATCAGATATTTTATAGAGATTTTAACAATAAGTATACATTTTGTTAACATTCCTATGGGTTCCGTACCAATGCTTATGCGTTAGACAGCGACGCGGCGCTTACGCGCTTTATATTTTGTTCCTATGCAGTTAAAGCAGTACGATTGCTTTGAAAAAAAGTTCAGATCTTCCACAATATGTCAAAATAAAGAAAAAATTTTTTTTTCAAAAAAAAAACAAAAAAAAAAATTAAAAAAAATATTTTTTTTTTTAATTTTTTTTTCAAAAAAAGTGATTTTTTGTCCAATTTATAGTTTCTCAAAAATCTTATTTTTTCAAAGTAATTTTTTTTCAAAAATGTTAATGGTTTTTTAAAAAATAATAATTTTTGGTACGGGAAGTTCCAGCAATTTGCCTTAAGGCACGATGCCTTAATTGCCTTAAGACAGAATTCCACTTACAGCTAGTTTTAAAGCAATCGTACTGCTCTAACTGCATAGAGACGAAATATCAAAGCGCATAAGCGCCGCCGTCTAACGGATAAGCATTGGTACGGAACCCATAGGAGTGTATACAAAATTTATACTTATGGTTAAAATCTCTATAAAAGATCTGATAATTTGACGTGCATATGTCTAATGATCATTTTTGACCGCCTAATGGCATATTTTTTTACTTTTTTCATCAGATCTCCGAAACCGCTAGACCTGCCTTCATGAAAATTTGATCAGTTCTTTATCTTGTTAATACAAGTTCATTAAAATCGGACACTCCGTTCTCTTAAAAACTGAATTACTGTTTTTGGCACTTTTTGCCCCATATTTTGGGAACGACAAGTCCTGCCTTCGCCAAAAATTTTAATTCTTATCAATACGAATCAAATGTTTTTTTAATTATTCAAATCGCTTCATCCGTGTTCCCGAAATCGTTGACGAAAATTTGTATCCGAACACACATACACACACGCACACACACACACAAACACACTCACGTACATCCATTTTTTCTAAGGTATGCCAAAATATTCAGAAACCTCTGAAACGTAAAGATATATAAAAATTTTTATTTTCGATTTTTTTGCGATTACTATAACTTACCCTACGGGAAGTTAATAAAGAAAGCATTTTTTTTAAAAAAGTCTTTTTTTTTCAAAAAAGTAAATTTTTGTCAAAAATTTATAGTTTCTCTAAAATCCAATTTTTTCAAAGTAATTTATTTTCAAAAAAGTTAATCTTGTCAAAAAAATAATTTTTGGTACGGGAAGTTCCAGCAATTTGATCGTTTCTTTAAATTTTTTTTTGAACAGCAATTGGGTTAAATCAGTATCTCAATCAATCGGTTTGCAAATACGTCCAAAACATCTACCATCTATCCATCTATCCATTATCTATTATCTGTACTCACTGGGTCTGTATCTGTCCAATCCGTCGTATCTGTGGGGGTACAGGTCCCTGGGGCTGTAGCCGTAGGTTTCGCGGTGGATTGGCAAGTAGCGGTACCCTGGGACGGTGATGCGTTCGGCGGCGTGGGAGGGGTCGTCGTAGATGCTGCGGGACAGGGGCCAGGTGGATGTGAATTCGGGGAAGGAGGATAGGGGCCTGAAGGCTGAGCGGGGCCTGTAGGCGCTCTCGGGGGCGCGGATGTCGTCTGAACCTGGAAAAGGAGGAAAATATATTTTGAGATTTATTTGAATTTGTAACTGAAAACAAGACACTATTATACATTTTTAACTACACGGAGGAAAAGTTGGTCTTTGCTACAATTTGCTAATTATATGTTTTCTCGACATTTCAAGTTACGAAGGTACTTCTTTAGTACTTCTGGATTCGTAGACACCAAAATCGGACAAACTTAAGAACTGAAATTTTCCCTTTCGTCCTCGTTTTCTCAAAAACCTTAGAATCGACTTCAAATATTTAATACTAGCTTGATGGAGTAAATCAATTTGACTCATTTGCACTTTTAATGAGAAAAAATTCAAGTCTTTTTTAAAATATTTTTTTTGGTTTTTTATATGACGATGAAAGCTAAACAGATTTCCTTACTTCCAATAATTCACATGTGCTATACCTCTTTCACACATAACTCATTTTCTTTTCTAAAAAACGTTCTGGTGGGAGAATTTTTATGTTATAATTCATTCATCAATGCCGTAAATTTATTTGTTGCAAACTATTCAGTTTGCAATGAGTTGCTATTCAGTTTGAAATCTTTCATTTTGACCTATGGCACCGGAGGAACAGTCGATGAACAATTATTCTTAAGGAAAGCCAGGTGCTCATTTACTCAGTACATTGCCAAATATACCAAGTAAATTTTGAATCAAATTTTGGTAAGCCGCAGATATAAAAAACAATTGTTTAGAAGCACCTTCTAAACGGTTTTTCCTATTTGGGCAATAATGAAGCCTCAAAATATCAAATATTTTCTTGAGAGAGTTTGTTGTAAACTGACTGAGTCGTATTTAAGTTGTAGATCATAAAAGTAAGCCCAATAATAAAATTTTATTATTGAGCTCAAAATCTCAAAACATCGCAATATAGTAACTATAAAAAATTAAAAACATTTCCCGAGAACTACATTTTTTTTAATAATACTAAGTTTGGAGTCGATATGCTAGATCAAATGGCGCAAAAATGTAGTACCTAGGCAGGTTCCGGCAGATGTTTATCGTATTCTACAACATTTTAAGTTTGGCAGCAATTAATGCTTGACCCATATAGAGATGCCACTTAATTAGGAATGTCCAGAAAAAAAATTGTTTAGCAACTGGCGGAAGATTTAAGTGGCATCTACAAAAATCAAGCCGAAGGTACTTCGACTTTATCTAATATACGATATATTGAAAATTGTGCAAATTGCAGGTACAAGTGCCATGCAATAGAAATAGAAGCAAGGGCGTTTGTAGCAAATGCAATAAAAAATATGCGGAAAATTTTATTTTTAAAAACCTTCATTTTGACGATTGGCAAATAGGTTATCCACGATTTTGGCAAAAACCCTTAACCGGTTTTGAAAATGTAAAAACTGTTCGAAAGATTTTAGTTGAGAATCGTTCTGATTAGTTTTTGATGACTAAATCGCTTTTTGAAAATTTTATAGTCTCAATGAACATCCTAAAATATTACAGATTTACGACAAATGGTTTCATTATAAAAATACGCCGAAATTTGGAATAATGTAGCAGTGTTCAATTTTCAAAATTTTATTGCCATTTTGCCATATTGCCATGACAAAAGTTGCAGAAAATCAATTTTTTACGCCGATTATTTACACGTATTGGAAAGTTTTTGCATCTTGTCTTTAATCACAATGCCATTTTCCAAATTTTTGATGATTTCAACTGATGATATTTAACGCGTTTTTCTATGAAACTCCAAAATTCATGCAATACGAGTGCAATGGATACGACTATATACCAATAGATATGCACAGTTTGAGTAACTTGTTTATAAATATAAAATTAAAAACATAAAATTGAATAAATTTTATTATTCTTTTTTACGGCAATTATTTTTATCTATTAGTTTTATGAATATAGAAAATGAGACAAGCTAAATAATTTATCAATGTTTGTTACTCTCTAATCTATAAAATATATTAGTGTTAATCTACATTCGACCGTTGTTTTGGCAATTCTTTCTTCTATTTTTTTTAAGAATTTTTATTGTCAAAACAACGTTTGAATATAGATAGTAAGATACTTTGCTAAATTCTTTACTTTGATTATCAAACTTACAACATTACTAAAAAAATAATCTAAAATCAAGTGTAGTAGTATTTGCCGAAGCTGAATTATATTTCTATAATAATATTTTGATTGCAGTATATTTATATAGTAAAAGTGTGAATTTAATTATCTTACCCTTGAGGGATCTGACGTATGACTGCCAGAATTTGGCTTTCTTGGAGGCGGTCTCGTTCCTGCCGATCATATCCAAATGATTTTTAAACATCTTGATGTCGTTTTAGGTTTCTTCTACTAATTTAATACGTCAGTCGTTCGCTGTAAATAAAATAAGGATATAATTATAATTCGTGAATAATTTGCCAATCTATTCTATCTATCTATTCTACAAAAATAAGTAAGCTCATCTACTGAATCATCAACGACCGAATTTTAGAATTACTGAATGCTTCAGTAATCATTTTTTCAGTAATCTAGTCATATGATTTAAGTATTCTATTGAATTAAAATTATCATTAAGGCTTATATAAATATGGAAAATTAAGGTATCGTCATGGTACTATAGTTGCTATACTTATTTTATGATTCGAAGCAAGAAATTGATAGTTTTTACAACATTATCATAGAATCTAAAAATCCAAGACAAATATAATATTATTGTCTTGGTGTAAGATTTATTATTGCAATAAATTAAATTTTTGGAAATTTAGCTATTATTATTCTGTGTATATTAATTTTTGCTGATATTAAAGGCATTTATAACTATATTTGTAAATATAAATTTGAAACTGAGGTCACTTTTATATTGCTCTGCTGAACAAATAATGTGTTGACTCGAAAGTTACAAATGTATCATGGATTTTATTTAATAATTTGCTACATTATATGTATATTGGTGTCTTTTAAGTGTTGATTATTTCTAGTTTACCTTGAATTTTGATTAATTCGATTCTTTTACCCCGTATCGAAAATTCTCAATCGATTTCTACTTTTACTCAAAATCGCTCGGTATTTTTAATCTCATCGGCTGTGCGCCCAAAATTAGCTATGTGAAGAAGCGATTACGCAAATATATGTGAAAACGCTTATTAATGTGTACAACACCTACATGTATATAACTCGAAGTCAGTTTCGAGTTACAGCAAGTTTATAAATACGCGATTTAGCCAAGGTCGACGCTAGCCAAATTCCTCGCCCGAAACCAAAAGGCTAAAATTAACATTTCAGGCGCACGCTGCCGAACTAGGATCATAGGGGAAAAAATATATGTATACACTAGCAAACCGGGCGAACTCGCATATCGACATTTAATGTAACATTTCTGTGGTGTTTCAAAAGGTTTAAGAAACAAATTTTGTTGAAATTGAATAAAAATTTGCACAATACACGTGATTGATTTGATGGTTACCAATTGAAATGCTAGGAAACGAATAACTTATATTTTTTACTTTTTTTGCACAATTTCACAGTAAACACAATGCTGGTTTGTCACATGAAATTAACTGAGCAGAGAACAATGAGTAGCTGTCAAACAAATGAGTTGCAGTCAAACAAAAAATATTAGTTTGTAGAACATGCTAAGTATCAGAGATGATACTGTATGTGAAAAAAGAAAAAATGTTTTCCGCTTTTCTGTCGAATTTTTTCTGCAATTTTCTTTGCTATAATCCTCATGGAGCCCGAGACCTTTCCAATTAATCAAAATCGTCGAAATCGGTGCGTGCGTTCTGGAGTTACATCGTCAGGAAAGAAAACCCGACTTATTTTTATATAATAGATAATGACCTGTGTGTACGAGTGTCACCTATAGACGACATTCAAAGTGACAACTGTCGTTTCAAGATTTATTACTGAGTTTAAATATTTTGATTTTTAAATACATTTTTATCGATAATCATTCGAGTCCTAAATTTTGTTATTGTGCCTGATTCGTTCAGTAATGCTATTGAGCGGCTCGTTATTCCGTATAGCAGTGTCACTTCTGCGAAAAACACATATAACTGAAGTTCGCGATTAAAAATATTTACGAAAAACTTGAAATTTGTTTTTCATAAGTGGATTGATTTTTTTAGTGGATTAAACCTCAACTAACATCAATCATTTTATATTTTTGAAAATTTGTAATATTATTTACTTTACATATATAATTTCAATTGAATTCAGGTGTATTAGGATTTTTTAACCGAATTTAAATTTCCGAATAGTGATCTATTATCATATTAAAAATAATTTAAAAATTGTTTAACAATTCGAAAATCAATATAATTTATTTGTAATATAATAATTAATTTAATTATCATTAATTAAAGTATTTTTTTCAACATTTAAATATATTTGGAATTCATATAAAAAATCGATATTATTAATCAATACTCTATACAGATCTTCTTTATAGTACTAGTCAATGATTCCTTTAGTATAGATAAACAGTTAATTGCCTTGCCAAGGTATTTGCACGATAAATATCTCTGAACTATTGCAAATACAATGTATGCCAAGATAGAACTGATAAATTGAAAATCAAACTAATTGTTTTTCAAGATTAACTTATTAGATTACTAATTAAATAAAATTCGTATGTTATGATAAAAATTGTATGCCCAAACAGCATTAGCAGATGGATTTATAAGTATTACATGTTTACTCCTTGTTTGGTTAGTTATCGTTCGATTTTTTTAACACTTTGAACCGAATTCAAAAAACAAATTTTTTAAGAATATATACGAATTCGGGCGATCTAAGTTTTAATTATATTTCAGATACTTGAGAATATAATATGAAGACGATATGGCAGGATTCTAAGATAGTATTGCAAAAATTGTAATGCATTTAATTATTTTTTTATATATAACTCTCTTTAATAAGTTCTAACTCAATAGCTTTGACAAATTTTGTTACAAAACTAATAACTGATATCTTTCTGAGGTTATGCTAATTCAGACCCAAAATCTTACAAATAACAAAATATTTGATCTAATTGTTCTAAATTTTGGATTTAAATTAAAATCACTGTTACCAGCTTATCAAATTTACGACATATTTTATATGAACGGCATGATTTTTCTAATTTTTTAAACAATTTGCTAAATAATTATTTTAATATAGTCTGCATGTGGCAGCAACGATATATAAAGATATCATTGAAATGTTTATGTGTAATTGTGCATATTTTTAAATTAGTATATATGTGGTAATATGCATTTAAATTTGATACTACTTTAAAAATTTTCACTTGATATAATCACGTTTCAAATAATCACTTGTTACACAAAACAGGAAACATTTGCTTGTGTGCACTGAATGTAATAAATTAGAGTTACTACTTAATATGGTTCATATTTTAATTAAACCTTATAGTATATTTTTTTAAATTTATTCTAGGATTTGATTATATTATTAATTAGCGATTGGTCATTTTTTTAAAGAACGTTTTGAAATGTTGAATATGGTATCACCAAATCAATCTAATCTTCATGAAAGCACAAATCCTCATTGCAGTTTACAATACCATATTAATTTATAATTTTTATTTTACAGTTAATTTCTTTATCATATTATTTCTAATCTCACCAAATTCACAGATTAAAGTTTTAAAAAACATTAGCATAATTAATAACTGATATCACATTAATATAATACTTTATTTCTTCTGATCACTTGTTCAAAAATTCAGCACTTCTTGTTTAATTTAATTCAACACTTTATTTAATTAATTTGTTTTTTAGGAAAAAATATTTCTTTATTTGTTGTAACATATAAATTGACTTACTTAATTGTTAAATATTATAAATAATTATTTATTGAATTATAAATAAATTTATCAATATTTTATCGATGTGCACAGATATAATAATTAAATATGTGCACATAAAAGAATATACACATAAATATGAAGTATGTGCACACAAACTAATAAAATTGCATATAAACACAGATATATGTATTATATATATATATATATATATATATATATATATATATCCATATATACGATTCGTTACCCCCAAAGCTAATTATTCTAGATATAACTAATTATTCACTGAAACTTCAATTAAATTTGATTTATGTAATGGTACCTACTTTTAAATATAATAAATTAAAAGTTCGTTGGGGAATTTTTGTAAAAAAATCCGTGTCTGACTGAGCAAAAACAGTTTTATTTTTGCATTATATATATAAGAGCCCGGGTCCAGAAATCTCTGACCAGGACGCACGCGCAGGCCAATCGAATATATATATCGAGGAGGAGTGAGAGGTGGAACCCTATATTTGTAGCGCCAGCCGGGAACACCGGAATATGTATATATATATATATATATATATATATGTATATATATATATATATAAATCCGCAGGTAAAAAGGTTCACCACCAATATCTCAAAAACCAGTTAAAATTTTTTTTACAACAATATTTGAAAGTAGAGGCCAAAAGATGTATAACTAGCCATCCCCTTTATTCGTACGACGTTTATATTCAGAGATAATCAACAATGTTTGAAAATCCTTAACAAAAGTATTTTCTTTCGTGGTTAATTTATTTGGTAGTGAGCACTGTTGTTCAGTTTACGAGACCTTAATATAATTTTTACATACACGGTATTTTTATAAGATGTATTGTCAATTTCAAATTAGATTCAGTTTTTTTTCATATAATCTCTATAAAAGCTTACACGTGGATGGGTTAAAGAGGAAAACTGAATTTTTAACCTGACAAAGGTGTAAACAATGAAAAATAGTAAATAAAAAAATAAATAAACAAAAAAAATGCAATTTTGAAAAAGATAAATAATTAGTTATACCAACTGTGTTGACAAATAAGGGACCTGTTTGCCCCCTGGCCGTCCCTTTTTACTCGCCTATGAGTTAAAAAGGTCCAGATGAAAAATTTTTTTTTTAAAAAAGGACACATTTCTACAATGATGAATTAGCTGGGAGTTTTACTGAACATAGTCAGATAAATGTGTTATGTGTTGTGATGTCATATGGTTTATACAGTATAATTACTTAAAGTTATATTGGACCTTTGTGCTTCATTCTGCTATAAACATATGTAGTGTCAATAGATACGAGTAATTAATGATATTACGTATGAGTATGAAAAAACAGATATTATAAGTTTATTGTTTACGAGGTATCAATTGGTAAATGCTATGCTACAATATTAATATTGATTATTATTATTATTAACTGATAAATTTATTTTTGAAAAAACAGTGTAAAATGTTATCTAAATGTTGTTCTATATTAATTCTAGTTTATTAAGGCGATTTTTTCAACACGTATTGGAAAATTCAATGCAACTAAGATTAAGGCAAA